CCCATCTTATGTTCCATCCTTGAGAATGTTCCATGTGCACTAGAAAAGAGTGTATAGTCTGGTGTTCTAGAATGAAAGACTCTGTAAATGTCAATTATGTCTCTTTGGTCTAATTTGTCATTTAAGGCTATTTTCTTGATTTTCTGTTTGGATGATCTATCCATAACTGTCAATGGTGTATTTAGATCTCCTACTATAATTGTGTTTTTGTCAGTGTCTCCCTTTAGCTCTGTTAGTAGTTTCTTTATATACTTTGTTGCTCCCTGATAAGGAACATATATATATTGATAAATGTTATGTCTTCTTGTTGTATTGTCCCTTTCTCATTATAAAATGTCCACCTTTGTCTCTTGTTACCTTTTTCAACCTGAAGTCTGTTTCATCAGATGTAAATATGGTACACCTGCTTTTCTCTGGATACCATTTGCTTGGAGTATTATTTTCCACCCTTTCACTTTGAGTCCATATTTGTCCTTGCAGCTGAGATGCATCGCTTGAAGGCAGCATACGGTTGGGTTTTGGTTTTGGATCCAGTCTCCTACTCAGTGCCTTTTTATTGGTGAGTTCAGTCCATTTGAGTTTAGGGTAATTATTGATATATGAGGATTTCCTATAGCCATTTTATCTCTTGTTTTGTGGTATCTTGGTGTCTCCATTGTTTCTTTGCCTTTGTGTTTCTGTTTGCTATTAGGTTGGTGCAAACATAATTGCAGTTTTTGCATTGTGGAAATTTGCCTTTGATTCTTAAATAAATGTGGTTATGTTATACATCATTTTACACGCATTTCTCATTTTATGTTTTTTTTGCTATTGACTTATTTGCTGTTTTTTTATATGTAATTTAGATTATGGAAATGATGTTAGACAAAAAGAAAATTCAAGCGATTTTCTTATTTGAGTTCAGAATGGGTCGTAAAGCAGCGGAGACAACTCAACATCAACGACACTGCCCAGGAACTGCTAATGAACGTACAGTGGTAGTTCAAGGAGTTTTTCAAAGGAGACTAGAGCCTTGAAGATGAGGAGCATAGTGGCCAACCATCGAAAGTAAACAATGACCAATTGAGAATAATCATCAAAGCTGATCCTTTTACAACTACACAAGAAGTTGCCAAAACACTCAAAGTCGACCATTCTATGGTCATTTGGCATTTGAAGCAAATTGGAAAGGTGAAAAAGCTCAATAAATGGGTGCTTCATGAGCTGACCACAAATAAAAAAAAACCCATCGTCTTGAAGTGTTGTCTTCTCTTACTCTACACAACAACGAACCATTACTTGATCGGATTGTGACATGTGATGAAAAGTGGATTTTATACAACAACCGGCAGTGACCAACTCAGAGTGGTTGGGCTGAGAAGCTCCAAAGCACTTCCAAAAACCAAACTAGCACCAAAAAAATGTCACTGTTTGGTGCTCTGCTGCTGGCCTGATCCACTACGGCTTTCTGAATCCCAGAAAAACCATTATATTTGAAAAGTATGCTCAGAAAATTGATGAGATGCACCAAAAACTGTAATGCCTGCAGCCAGCATTGGTCAACAGAAAGGTCCCAATTCTTCTCCGCAAATCTCAATCTCATGTCACACAACCAGCGCTTCAAAAGTTGAACAAATTGGGCTACGAAGTTTTGCCCCATCCACCATATTCACCTGACCTCTCGCCAACTACCTCTTCTTCAAGCATCTCGACAACATTTTGCAGGGAAAACACTTCCACAACCAGCAGCATGCAGAAAATGCTTTCCAAGAGCTCGTCGAATCTCGAAGCAAGGATTTTTATGCTACAGGAGTGAACAAACTTATTTCTCATTGGCAAAAAATGTGTTGATTGTAATGGTTTCTATTTTGATTAAAAAGATGTGTTTGAGACTAGTTATAATGATTTAAAATCCATGGTCCAAAACCACAATTATTTTTGCACCAACCTAATATGTTAGTTTGGGGGTATTCTATGATTTTTTTTGCCTTTTCTTTTATGTCACATGTCTCAGTTCAGGAATTTTTTTTCCAGTGGTTACCGTTACGTTTATGTAAAAGAAAGTTTCATATTTTTCTTTAGCATGCATTTTATCTCCATTCCCCTTTGCAAATTCAAATTTTACCCCCTCCTCTTTTATATTTTGTTGTCATAAATTATCCCTATTTATGCTGTGAGCTTATTTCTGAGTTGCAATAGCAAATTGTCTTCTTCTCTTTTTTTTTAATGTTTTTATCTTCTTTACCCATTATGTTATGTTTAAGTGTATAATGTAGGGGTTGCCATTTCCTGCTTCTGTCTGTCAGTAATCTTACTCATAATTTTGTATCCTTTTGTCTTTTTGTTTCAGGTAGAATAGCCTCTTCAATATTTCCTATAATGCAGGCCTTGTCATGGACAAATCCCTCAACTTCTGTATATCTGGAAATGTCTTTATTCCTCCTTCAAAACTAAAGGATAACTTTGCTGGATATATTATTCTTGGCTGGCAATTTCTTTCTTTCAATAGTGTGATCATTTGATTTTACTCCCTCCTGGCTTGTAGAGTTCCTGCTGAAAGATCTGATGATAATCTAGTGGGCTTTCCTTTTTAGGATGCCATCTTCTTTTCTCTGGCTGCCTTGAGAATTCTTTCTTTGTCATTAATTTTTGACAGTTTCAATATAATGTACGTTGGAGAAAGCCTCTTAGGATTGAGGTAATTGTGTGTTCTATTTGCTTCTTGGGTTCAAGGATCCGGTTCTTTTCACAGGTTTGAGAAGTTACCATCAACTATTTGTTTGAATAGACTCTGTGCCCTTCTCCTTCTTTTCCCCTCTGGTGCACGAATTATTCTTATATTGCTCTTTCTGATGGAATCAGATAGTTCTTATAGAGTTCTTTCATTTCTTTTAACTCTGAAGTCTCTCTCTCCTTTTATCTGCATCATTTCCGGATTTCTGTTTTTTTGTTTTGTTTTGTTTTGTTTTTTTGGAGGGCAGTGTAACTGACCCTCATATGTGGGATCTGAACCGGGGCCCTCTGGCATCCCAAGCCAGTTCGTAACCATTGCGCCACTCGACTGGCCCCAGATTTCTGTTTTTGATATCAATAATTCTTTCCTCCACCTGGTCAGCTCTATTTCCTAATTTCACTATTTCATCTCTTTATTGAAATCTTCAATTCCATAATTTCTACTTGTTTGGTTTTTCTGTTTGTTTTTCTGGTTTTTTAAAGATTTTTTTATTGGGGAATTGGGGGAGGGGAACAGACAAGTTGCTGTCCTTTTGTTCTTCAGTCTAGTTGTGGAGGACGTCGCTTCACTGGCCCATGTTGGTATTATGATCATTGTGCTCTTCCCGGCTGAGGTATTCGCTAGCTGGCCATTGGACGGCCGCTCACGGCCGCTCACAGCAGCCCAGCTCCAGGTCGAGCTGTTGTTCACAATCTGACGCAGGGTGCAGCGTCACAGGCCCATGTGGGAACTGAACCAGCGGCCCTGCTGCTCAGAGCTTGAGCTCCCAAGCCAACTCTTAACCAACTGAGCCACTTGGCCAGCCCTACTTGGTTCTTTTTTAAAGTTTCATTATCTTTGGTAAAGTATTCATTTTGTTCATTCATTTTATTTCTGAGTTCATTAAACTGCCTGTCTGAGTTTTTTTGCATCTATTGAGTTTTTTTCAGAACTTCAACCTTGAATTCTCTGTCATTTAAGTCACATATTTCTATGTCTTTAAGTTTATTTTATGGATTTTTTTTATGAGCTGCCTTGTTACCTTCTTTATTCATAGTAATTGATGGATTATTTCTCTTCCTGGGTATCTAAGGGAATGAATTCTGGCGCAGGTTGATATGAAGAGGTCTTTCTTTTGTTTTCCACTAGGTACCTCAGGAGCATTTTATTTTCTTTTGCTCAGTTCCAGTTTCTTGCGGTGGAAGGTTTACTGTGGAGGTGGGCATCTCCTGTCTGAGCAGGTCATCTCAGTCTCTGGGCACCACCCCCATGAGAGGATGTGGTGGGTGATGGGGTTCTGGCCCTTGAAATCCTAGTGCAGCCTCTGCAGCCAGATGCAGAGCTATGTACTTCAGTAGTCCTGGGTGCCTCTGCTAAGTTCAGAAAAGTGGGGGTGGGGAGAGCTGGGAGAGGCTGCTGGTGTGTTTGTGTCTTTGCTATCCTCTGAGTAATGGTGACTGTCAGACCACAGCTGCCTCACCCCTATATCTCCTCCCTTGTCTCTGGAATTAGCTGCAGTGTGTGTCTGCCACTCACCAACTGCCTCTCCAGTTATCAGGGTTGCAAATATTCTGTTCTTTAATCTGACACTGCCACCGTTTGTTCTGGGACCTGCTGCTAGCCCTGGGAGGGTGTTGAGGAGAAGAGCTCTGCAAGGATGAGGGGAGGCAGCCAGGCTCCATGGCTTTGTTTTTTGTCTGGCAGTGAGGGATGTTAGACCACAGTTGTAGCACTTCTATATTTGGTCTTTGCCCTGAGGCCTCTGCCCCAATCGCTGGGTTCAGCCATATTATATACTGATCACTCAGGCAGGATAGCTCCAGGCCACAGAGAGTGCACCTGCAGTAGTCTCAATCCTTCCCTCTCCCGCGACTGCAGTGAGCGCTGGGCTGCGTCCCACCACCCTCATCTCTGCACTTCTCCCTTCTCTCCTCCCCTGTTCACCCCAATTTGCCCACCTTTAGATGTTTTGATGTGCAGATCTCTCAGGCATATTTGTGTGTGGTGTAGGGAATCCTCTGTTGAATTATAGTTATTAACTAGTTGTAACTTCAAGGGGAGAGATCAAAGGGAACCCATCTTGGTGCCATGTTTCTGATGTCACTAGAAAATGCTTTTTGAAATGACTGATAAGCTGCACAAAAGAGAAAATTGTAAATTTAATAATCCTCCTACTCAAAAATAATACAGTTCAGGAATTGTTACTAAGGAAAATGATGTGTTGCATTCTTGTTTTTTGGAAACTTCCACAGTTTGTTTGTTTTTTATGTTTATGTTCAGTAAATAACGTACTATATTTTTTTTACAGTGTTTCAACAAAAGGCAACCGGAAGACAATCTGATGGTGACAAATTCCATGGTACTAAGAAACAAGGTACTGACACGAACTTCAGTTTATTGAATAATCTCTAAGTAAGAGTTAAAGAAGTCATATAAATACTTAATAAAGTCTCCTGGGACAGAAGTAAATATGGATTAATTTTACACTTAACTTAGTGCCTTACCCAAATATAATTTTGCCATAATAAGATTAATGCAAGAGAAATATTTTAATTTAAAAAGGCAAGAAATGGCCTCATGAGAATATTTGTGGAGGTGATGATATTGTCAGGGCTCTAGGAAGGTCAAGTAAGACAAATTCTCTAACATACATCAGAGACCATGCTTTCATAGAGAGAAGCCTCTGGAAGTTACATGGTTCAAAGAGGAGATGACTGCTTGCCCCAGAACTGAGACCAGCATGTGTTTTCTGTGCTGTATATTGAATTCCCACTATTCTCCAGCCTTCAGCACTTGGTCCACCCTCCCATCCCCCACCTCCGAGTCAAGCCGTTGTTCTCAGTCTCGTTGTGGAGGACACCGCTTGCTGACCCATGTTGGTATTATGAGCATTGCTCTCTACCCAGCTGAGGCAGTTGGTTGCCAGCCATCAGCTGGCCGCTCACGGCAGCTCTCGCGGGCTGTCAGCTGCTCACACTTGCTACAGCCATGGCTCACAGTAGCTAATGGCAGCTCACACCAGCCACCGGTCACTCGTGGCAGCCCAGCTCTAGGTTGAGCCGTTGTTCACAATCTTAGGTGTAGAGGGCGCAGCTTACTGGCCCATGTGGGAATCAAACTGGCAGCCCTGCTGTTCAGAGCTCTCACTCTTACCAACTGAGCTATCTGGCTGCCTCTGATCCGCCATTTCTTGAGCAATTGTTTGTCATGCAGAGAAGAGCTGAAAACTGTAGCTACATTTCAAACAGCAAGACTGTTTTCCTCTTGCTCTACAAGGAGGCAGTTGCCCTCAATTCTCCCTGCCACAGGTGGTTCCTACTGAAAAGAGAGACTCTAGCAGGTTATTTATCATGATTTTTTTTCCTGATAACAAGGCTTTGGTTAAATTTCAAAACTGAAAAATGTAAAAGGTGGCAGAGGTGGAGGTAACATTGACTGGCTCTGCTGATCAATGAGCACGTACAGATACTTTTAACCTCAACTCACCTTTGAAATAACTTCAGTCCAAAACAATATTACCTTGAAATTGTCATTAGTAAATTACTGAGAAAGACATTAAAATGAAACCAGAAAATTATTTCACAGCAGCCACTAAACACTCCCATAGTCAGTCTCCTTTGGTGGCATTGTGAAGTTCGCTAGGTACTGACTGAACTAACTTCTTTTTTTTTTTTTAATTTTATTGGGGAATTGGGGGGATGGGAACAGTGCTGGGGAATTGGGGGAAGGGGAACAGACAAGTTGCTGTCATTTTGTTCTTCAGTCTAGTTGTTGAGGACGTTGCTTCACTGGCCCAAGTTGGCACCATCATTGTGCTCTTCTCTGGCGAGGCAGAGGCTTCTGGACGGCCGCTCACCGCGGCTGCTGGCCGCTCACGCTGGCTGCTGGCTGCTGGCTACACACGGCAGCCCATGGCAACCCACTGCCACAGGGGCTGCAGCCTCTGCCGTCGCCGGCGACTCACGGCTGCCCAGCTCCAGATTGAGCTGTTGTTCAGCATCTTAGCTGTGGAGGGCAGTGTCACTGGCCCTCATATGTGGGATCCGAACCGGGGCCCTCTGGCATCCCAAGCCAGTTCTTAACCATCGCGCCACTCGGCCAGCCCCTGAACCAACTTCTAATGCCTACTGAGCTAGTAAATACAGAACCTCAATGGACCTGGTCCCAGGACACCATGGATCAGCCTCCAAATGAGGCTGTGTCCCTAAACTGAGTGATCTTCACACATGACTTCAAGTGGCATTTCCCACAGCAGCGCGGTTGTACTTGGATCATTTTTCTAATGAAGTACATGGTGTTTGAATGCAGCATATGATACAGCTGAACTGCCAGCCTCCCATGAACCACTTGGATATTCTGCTTATAGATTTAAGTGCAAAAAATTCTACTGGACAATTTTCCATTTGTACCTATTTCATATTTGGGGAAAAGATGTATCTTTAAAATCTACTATTATGCTCCCACTTTGCCTCTAGCTCTCCTAAGAAATAAATGCAGAACGCCAAATAAGATTATTGTTTAATTAGGGTCAAACAGTCACAGAAGAATTAAACAAAGTAGAGAAGACTATTTCTTCCTCTCCATCCTCCTCCACATACCCCACAGAGCTTTAGAAAGAGTAAGGAGAGAGTATGCTTTGAGCTCTTTGAGAGGATATTTCCCTAAAACATTTTAATAAATTATTCAATTATCATACTTTTAATTAAATTCTGTTAGAATTAAGAAGCAAATGTGAAGAAGGCCACAGGAGATAAAGGAAGGTGACAAGGAGCAAGTGTAATGAGGGGATCTTGGAATGCTTGATCTTATCAATTATCCTTCTGGTTCTCCCACAGAGAGCCATATAAGGAAAGGTTGTGAGTATCCATGAACCCTGGATGAGACCGATGATTTTTCTACCATATGTATAGAAAAATAGTCCTTCTTGTACCCAGAAAAAAAAGAGGAGAGAATGATGAAAGGAAACTGGGACATAATTATAAAATATTTTATTGGGAAAATATCTGTCCATATCTTGTGACCTAATTTTCTTCAAGGTCAAAAATTACTAGATTTTTAAGGCATAAGATACTGAAAATTTTAATCAAATTTCATATGAGTTTTTTTTCTCTCTGGATATTTATATCCTACTTCTTCTTTTTTTTAAAGATTTTATTGGGGAATTGGGGAAGGGAAACAGTGTTGGGGAATTGGGAAAGGTGAACAGCCAAGTTGTTGTCCTTCAATCTTAGTTGTGGGGGACACAGCTAGCTCAGCTCCAAGTCCAGTCGCCATCAGCCTCCCGTCAGCAGCTCACGGCCACTGAGCTCAAGGTGCTGTGTTCAATCTTGGTTGCGGGTGGGCATAACCCACCATCCCATGCAAGAGTCCAGCCGGCAACCTTGTTGTTAGGAGCATGTACTCTCACAAGCTGAGCTATCCTGCCACCTGTTGGCAGCTCAGCAGCAGCTCAGCTCTGGCGCAGCTCACTGGCCCATGTGGGAATCGAACCGGTGATCCTGTTGCTCAGAGCTTGTGCTCATAATCAGCTGAGCTACTCGGCCGGCCTTACGTCCAACTTCTCAATAATGTTTTTGATTAGTCACCTCAGAGCAGTTTCCCTAGACTTCTTTAACTCTGGACATCAGTAATTTAGCAGAACATAAAAGGACATTGTTCTAGTTGCAAGGACTAGAGGAACATAAGACTCATGACATGTTGAAAAAACAAAAACAAAAACAAACAAACAAACAAAACCCTCCCTGATTACTCTGCAATCTGGATAAAGAAGATAACTGAGACTAATTGGTAAATTTTTTTAAATTAAAGAATTAAGTGCCTAAAAAGACTTTCCATGTCCAACCAGTTTTGTCTAAACCTTTTAAAATATTTATGACCATCCAGTCCATAGGACATACTAAGCAATCAAAATTGTTTATTCCCGTGTTGATGAACACTCTTCAAATATCCTGGGATTTCATGGTATAATAGGAAAAGCAATACATGCTTCACCAATGATAATCTCTTTATTTGGTAGAAAACAAACAAGCCCCTTTTATGAAATGTTTATCAGTCAAGATTTCCTAAAGGGACCAGACAGATTCTCTAAAGAAGGTTGAAGAAACTATTTAATTCTTCTACTATATACTGGAAGGAAAAGAGACTATGAGAGCCAACTATTTTCCCACTGAAAGTATAAGCGTTTCAGATGCCCTATGTTCACGACTGCCAAGGGATTGCCAGGAAGTTACACTATTGCTAAATCAAGGAATTTTCCTGAGGAACAGAAAAAAAATTACTTGGCACCATTTCCATGGAAACTCAACAGATTTCTTCAACTCAATTTTTACATCTTGAAAACTATAAGGAAAATGCTGAAAACTTTGGATCACAGATAAAAGTTGCCATCAAAACACAGTTTTAAAATCAGTTTTCCCAAGTTGGTTTTGAAATTAGAAAATGCAAGAGTGCTGTCACAGAATATGCTGCTACCACACCTCCACCCTCTTCCCTAAGTTGAGCCTCATAGGCCAGTCAAGGGTGTGTTCTTCAATTGTGCAAGTCAGAGACCTGAATTTTGTCAGTGAGTTTGGAGTTGATCAGTTTTGAAGTCTGAGTCATGTTAACCAAGCTCATAGAGAACTGATTTATAACCCACAATTCTAGTCTATTAAATCAATACATCCCAGTGACTAGATTCCTTCCTAGTGATTAGAATGCTTGCATTCACTAGGCCCCTGCCAAATAATAAAGTTTCTATAAAACATAATTAGTGATTAGAAGACTACTAGGTGAACATGATCAAGTTGAAGGGTGCTGGAGAAATGGAAGGGTTGCTCCTTCAAGGACATGGAAATACCTGTTTAATCTTCCCTGCCTCAAAAAGTCATACAAGAGTCTAGGGTCAAAATTGCTCACGTCTCCAAGACATGTTCCATTTTTTTTTCTCTGTTATATCTTTTTCTTGGATGTTACCCAGGGTCTCTTCTATCCTCACCAGGATAATCCCCATTTTTAAATGTAGTCTTACCTCAGACATGATACATGGTAACTAATGAGGTTTAGCATTCTTAACACCTTAACTGCCCCCCTGTGATCATGAATCACATCCACAGATCTCCTCATCTACATAGTTCAATACTGAATTGCATCAAGGGTGTGTCGTTGCTGCCACTTTTAGAAGGCAAACCATTTCTTTGATGGGTGGAGTTAAATGAGGGGCAGCAGGAGCACATCCACCCTTACCAGATGCCTATCCCAGTAACTTCCAACCCTAGATGAGCATAAGAATTATTTGTAGAGCTTTGAAAATGTGGTTGCCTAAGTCCTACTTTAGACATGGACTAGAAAGTGGAACATATGAGAATAGGAATGAGCAATAATCTGAAAACCAAC